ATTATATATGGAGGCCATCGTATATTCTGTTGTATACCTAGTAAACATGGTAAAATGTAATTAAACTTAATTAGAAAGTGTTATGTGGTTCCTATAAATATAGGTTATTTAGAAATTTTATTTATTGAAGCAAGATATGAAACTTTGGGTGCAAACTTTCCAAACAGGTGCTTTCATATGCATGTGATTGAAAAGTGTTTTTGCCTATTTATTTCACTGTTCCATACAATTAGGGTTGTTTCTAAGCTGTTTGTAAGCTGTTTCTAAGCTGTTTAAGTGGTTAAATCACAGTAGATGCAAATCAAGCTAAAGTCTTTAATATTGGCTAATGGCTGATTCTTAAATAGCTAATACTTGCTAAGGGTATCTATATTAACTCATTTAATCCTCATAACAACCCCATGAGATAAAACCTACATCCTCACTTAACATTGTCAATAGGTTTCTGGAAACTGATTTTAAGGGAAGTGATATATAACAAAACCATTTATTTTTCTTATCAGTGTTCTAACAAAACGATGTTGAAGGAAATGACATTGCTCAAAGACCTGCTATATATTGTTTGACTCAAAGACACAGTTTCCAAGAAGCTGTCAATGATGTTAAGTGAGGACCTTACTGTATTATCCTCATTTTATAGATGAGGAGACTCATCTATAGAGAGCATAGAGAGAGGTTAAACAATTGCCTAATAAAGTCATAAAGCTAGAAAAGTAGATATTAGAACCCAGGTAGTGTGTGTTCTGAAGATGGCTTTAAAATATTTATGTTTGTTTAATCTGTTAATAATAAAAAAGAAAAGATTGAAGCGTAAGTGGTGTCCCCTACCTCCTTTTAATCTTTTACTGTGATTATTCCTCTTCTTCCTTTCTTTTAATGTCATTTTATATGCTCTTATGCAAAATTACTTCCATCTAGAATAGGAATAATGTGAATTGAAATCACCTAACCTATTAGCAATTAGGGGAGGGAGATTGTATGTAATATTTGCGTGCTTAAATATTTCCAATGAAAAAAGTTACTTCGATTTAGTTTTTTATGTTAGTATGTAATTATGATAGGCTACGTTTTAATTTTTTTATCAGATATCTTCTCCTAATTGTGAGCTATATTATCAAAGTCCTTTATCACTTTGTATGGCCAAAAGGAAGTCTGTTTCCACACCTGTATCAGCCCAGATAACTTCAAAGTCTTGTGAAGGGGAGAAAGAGATTGATGACCAAAAAAGCTGCAAAAGGAGAAGAGCCTTGGATTTCTTGAGTAGACTGCCTTTACCTCCACCTGTTAGTCCCATTTGTACATTTGTTTCTCCAGCTGCACAGAAGGCATTTCAGCCACCAAGGAGTTGTGGCACCAAATACCAAACACCCATAAAGAAAAAAGAACTGAATTCTCCTCAGATGACTCCATTTAAAAAATTCAATGAAATTTCTCTTTCGGAAAGTAATTCAATAGCTGATGAAGAACTTGCATTGATAAATACCCAAGCTCTTTTGTCGGGTTCAACAGGAGAAAAACAATTTATATCTGTCAGTGAATCCACTAGGACTACTCCCACCAGTTCAGAAGATTATCTCCGACGGAAAAGACGCTGTGCCACATCTCTGATCAAAGAACAGGAGCGTTCCCGCTCCGGTAAAGAAGAATGTGAGAACAATAGGCAGGACACAATTACAGCTAAAAAATACGAGCATTGCAAAGGTGACAATAAATCATTGACGCTTAACCTTTCCAGTGTGTAAAACTGGATATAATTTCAAACCACACGTTAGTACGTACGTTGCACAATGAGAAAAGAAATTGGTTTCAAATTTACCTAAGCATTTGTATATCAGATGTTCTTGGCCCGACTCTGTATTGGTATACTTTTGCTTCAGTTGCATATCTTTTTTTTTTTTTTTTTTTTTGAGACAGAGTCTTGCTCTGTCGCCCAGGCTGGAATGCAGTGGCCGGATCTCAGCTCACTGCAAGCTCCGCCTCCCGGGTTTACGCCATTCTCCTGCCTCAGCCTCCCGAGTAGCTGGGACTACAGGCGCCCGCCACCTTGCCTGGCTAGTTTTTTGTATTTTTTAGTAGAGATGGGGTTTCACCGGGTTAGCCAGGATGGTCTCGATCTGCTGACCTCGTGATCCGCCCGTCTCGGCCTCCCAAAGTGCTGGGATTACAGGCTTGAGCCACCGCGCCCGGCCGCTTCAGTTGCATATCTTAAAACTAAATGTAATTTATTAACTAATCAAGAAAAACATCTTTGGCCGAGCTCAGTGGCTCATGCCTGTAATCCCAACACTTTGAGAAGCTGAGGTGGGAGGAGTGCTTGAGGCCAGGAGTTCAAGACCAGCTTGGGCAACATAGGGAGACCCCCATCTTTACAAAGAAAAAAAGAATGGGGAAAAAAAATCTTTAAATCTTTGGATTTGATCACTACAAGTATTATGTTACAAGTGAAATAAACACCATTTTCTTTTAGATTCTGTCATTAAATGAAATGAGGTCTCTTAGTATATGCAAATAATTCCTTTTAGTTTAGCTACTATTTTAGGGAATTTTTTTTTTAAAGGTAACTCACTATGAAATAGTTTTCCTTAATGCACGTGTTGGTTCTGCTGTAGTTCCATCCTGTTCAAAAGGCAGGATGAATGTGATAGAGTGGTGTTTCCTTTTGAGCAATTCCTCATCCCTAAGTCAGCATGATTATAAGAAAAATAGAACCCTCAATGTAACTCTAATTCCTTTTTACTATTCCAGTGTGATCTCTGAAATTAAAACTAAAAATTCAAATACTTTAAATCAGAAGATTTCATAGTTTTTTTTTTTTTTCCCCCAACAAAATGGTCATCCAAACTCAAACCTGAGAAAATATCTTGCTTTCAAATTGGCACTGATTCTGCCTGCTTTATTTTTAGCACTGTCACAGGACCCAGAGCCTATGCCCTTTTAAACTTACCACAAAAGCAGATTAGTTCAATTTAAGATGATACTCTCATTTGTTATTTCTTTTTTTTTTTTGGAGATGGAGCCTCACTTTGTCGCCCGTGTTGGAGTGCAGTGGCATGATCTTGGCTCACTGCAACCTCCACCTCCCGGGTTCAAGTAATTCTCCCACCTCAAGCCTCCCGAGTAGCTGGGATTACAGGGACGCACCACCATGCCCAGCTAATTTTTGCATTTTTAGTAGAGATTGCATTTTACCATGTTCTCCAGGCTGGTCTCAAACTCCTGACCTCAGGTGATCCACCCGCCTCAGTCTCCCAAAGTGCTGGGATTATAGGCATGAGCCACCGCGCGCAGCCTTACTTGTTACTTTCTTATGTTTAATAGAGAAAAGGGATAAAGCAGTTCTAACTAGGAGTTAATAGCATGAAGAAGTTCTTAAATCAGATGTTTTAATGCTTTCAATTTATATATAATATCATGTTTTCAAATCTAATTATAAATATGTTTAAAGCCAAGAATAAATCTTTTAAAAAATTAACTTGTTTCCTTCCATAACTGTGATCCATGATTTTTCTCTTCTGTAAAAAGCATTAACAAACGTGTCTATTTTGCTACTCCTTGTAACTTAAGTATTCTGCAAGTCTTATTAATGTGACTTAAGTTTTATTTCTAAAACAGTTTGGTTTTCACATCCTAATTTTGCAGTGATCTACTCTAGAATAAGGAATAAAACTTGGGTTTCAGGAGAACAGAAAAAAATTATAAGAATTTCACCTTTTCTTTTTTGAATCCTTGGTAAAACTGCTATTGTCTGTTCTCATGTAGAACACCCATTATATTGATAGATATTTAATGCACACTTTTTTATAAATTATAAATAACATCTAAACTACATGAACAAAATATGAAGCTTGAGTATATGTGTATATTATCCCCTCAAAAGTGGCAATTTAATGATTACAGAGTCAACATACTGCATTATCAGGGATAATGGTAAAAATTTGTGTTATTTATTCAGCAATCATTTAATGAGATCCTATTGCACATAAAGAGCATTTGCCAGCTTTATGAATGATGCAGACAGTGAACACAATACAAGTCAATACTGGGTGTTCAAAAAGTTACACAAATCAGGAGCCATGGGAGTTGAAAGGAAAAACAGATCACTTCTATAGGGGATAAAGTTGATGGCACTGATCAATTTTTATGGTTTACAGACTATTTCAGGGGTCAGCTAGGGGAAGAAGAGACATTAAATAGGCCAGGAAACTATTCCTTAGAGCTCTATAAAAGTTATATAACCCTAGTGGTCACTCACTTAGCCCAGGTGAGCCCAAAACCCTGAAGCAGGGAGCCAGCCAAGTCAGGAGGGCTTGAATCTGGTCCTTTGAACTGCTCCTGTGAAATCAAGGGAGGGTAATTTCCACTTTGGGCTCTCTGACATTTCTCCCCTCTACTAGCCCAGATGAGTCAAGCCATCCGTATTGAGCTGGTTGTGCCACCACCCTATCAACCAAGATGCCCAGGACCACCTGGGCCTGGAAGATGGGAGCATTATTAAGTGGATCATTAGGAGATTATTGTATGTTATGCTTGGAGATACAGAATTTAGCAAAACTGATAACACCTTAGATTCATTGTTATTTACTATTGTCAGCCAAACTTAAAGGAGATACCAGTTTTTAAAATGTTAATGAAGAAAACATTACATACGTGTTGCTGGTAGTCAGGGAGATGTTGAGCAGGTTTCAGTAGTGTCAGATAATGTTAAAATAGTCTCATGTACACAGATCAAATATATAAGCAACTAAATTATAAGGTTGCTTTTGTCATTACCTTTATGATCCCTATTTATTAAAAATAAGACTGGTAAATAAGCCTGTGATACAGAAAAACTGGTATATTGTTGAGTTTCTTGGCATTTAGGTAATTAAATTTTTTTATTGTTGAATCAAAAAAAGAACCAATGACAAATCCATATAAATGTGATACCATTTACAATTTTTAATAACCATAAAAAGCACCATTATATAGGACACTTAAAATAATTTTTCACAGAACATTAGAAAGAAGCTGTTGGCCAACAAGAAGTAGAGCATACGTCCTCTGTGGTCTTGTCTATCGTGACCTCACGCTAAATCTGATTCCAACCTGTCGGAAATTGATTTGGATTCATAAATTCAGCATCAGTATAAGAAGACATTCCAGAGTTATGAGGACTTGATTGTCTTAATGCCACATAAAACATCAACCGCTCATTTTGTAATGAGCATGGCTTTTATATATCCCTGCATGACCTATATCCTGGGGTGCCTAATTTCTTGCACTCCCAAACAGTTGAGCTGCCAACTAATTACACATGTTAATAGGCATAATTTTAGAAGTCATTTAGCTATTCCTTTTAAAAGTTAGTGTTTTATGAAGGCAGGCTTATTTTATTTACACTATTAGCACAACAGCCAAAAGTTATTCAGGTTTAATCCTGCTGAATAAAGTAGTAAAAACACAAGGTGTGACTTTAAATAATGATACTGATTTCCCTCAGTAGCTCCTATAGCTATTAAGGATTTGACAGTATTTTTAACAATGATACATCATTAAAATAAAGGAATAACTTCCCAAAGTGTCTACTTTGAAGGACGTTGTTCCCAGATGTATACTTTCTGGCATATTAACATTAAAGGAAAATCAGTATCATAGAGTCGCACATCTCACATTTTTAGATACATAGATTATCAAAATAGCAATGGTGCTAAAACTTTCCCTGCCCCCCCACCACTTTTCTCCACCTTCCCAACTTTCCTGATGGAGATGAATTTCCTGAAAAAATAAATAGATCACTTCAGAGAAAATGGTACTGAAGCTTATATATAATATAAACGCTTTATTTCATCTATGAACCTATGTAAATAATTATGTTCTTGGGTGTGTTCTCAAGTTTTGGTTTCAAATTCTTACCCTAGAGAAAGAGCCTGTTTACTCAAATCTGCAGAATTCCCAGCATCAGACCATGCATATAGAAGCACTTTAACAAATTTTGGTGAAGATAATGAATATAATGACTTTGCTCAGAAACGTTTGAGTTCAGCTATTTAACACTGGAATTGGAGCTCTGACTAAAATGCAACAAAGAATAACAAAAATTGAAGTAGAAACTGACTTCGGAAAATTCTGCATGGCTGTAAGATAGGCCTCTAATATCCATGGTGACATCCGCCCCTTCTGTTATAGGAGCTCTCATTTGTAAATCCGCCGTGGGCCCTCCGGTTTGGAAACTCTGTGTAGGAATTCCAGTATCTGGCATTGTTGGAAGGCAGTGCATTATTCCTGTCCTGGCTTCTGTTCATTCTGCTTGGTTTTTCTGCATGAAGCACACTGTGAAAGGTAACATCGTGTTCATACCGTTCTTTCATTCGGTGGATTTTTTCTCTTGAGACACCATGAATGTTTCTTCTACGTGGAAAAAAGAAATGCATTTAGTTAAGGCAGGATATCACAATGAGTTACTTATATTTCACAAGTCCTCTAGGATTGCAGATATTGCAGTCCCTGTTCTCAGGACTTAGCTGTGGCAAAAGCATAATATCTTGTTCAGCAGTTCTCTTTCAGCCTCCACTCAGGTTTTTCATGCTGCCCTGCACACCCCAAACCACCCTGAGGCTAGCAAGGAGCTAAAGCTTCAGAAATGCTTTGTTTCTGGTCCTCTCAATTACGTGCTTCAAGACATAAAAGAACACCATGAGATTTTTTTAAAATCATACATTTGCCTGTTAATGTCATACATATATCTGTCATCTATTTATGTTCATCAGTCCCTGATATATACTACTAGGAGATGCTTATTAAAACAATCTTAAATTCTAATGGGCAGAAGAATCAACTGGGGATATAGTTAGAAATATAATTACCAGAGATTCCAACTACTGAGTGGGGTCCATGAACTCGGATTTTAATAGCCACCTGAGGCAATTCTGATGGAGTAGTCCACAGATCCACTTTGAAGACACTATCTGCCTATTACCATAAGAGGAACCAGCCTTACTCCTAAGAAGTAAATTCTGATCTCACTGGCTATTGTAAGTCAATGACATTATCAAACAATATAGATAGAGAATATCCGAACCCATGCACTCAATCAACAAGTTAGTATTATTTGAACATTTATTGCTGTATAAATTAGAAGCAGCATCTAGATCATAAATGAATCGCAGACTGCTCAACATCTGAAGATCTTTATTTAGCCTAAATGCAAAAACACCACTGACATGTGCAGTCCCATGCAGAGAAAGTGCTTTTCAATGTTCCTTGATGAAGAAGCATTTTAGCAGAATGTTAAATGCATCCTTTTAAAGGACCAAGTCCAAGCCAAGATTTAGCATTTAGCATTATATTAGAAAACTGACCCAAAACTAAAGTCTTCACATTAATAATTCCAAAGTTATCAATTTCCAAGAATTACCATTTCTGGCCTGAAAACTACCATGTCCATTTCCAGCCTGAAAAGATTCTTTTGTTCGGTCTGAAATACCTGAAAATAGCAGGATACATAATGAGAAACTAGAAAAACAAAGAAGTACCTTGCTAACTCTTGAACGTTGAATTTCCAGCGAGTGTCAGGTTCTCGGAATATAACTTCATAGTTATTTTCAAGTGCCTGATTTTTCAAAAGTACATAAAACATTGAAGACATAGTATGTATGTTTGGGAATGTTTATGCTGCCATTTAACATTTACTACAAATCTTTTCTAGAATTCCTTTTGTTTTACCAGTAATCCAATGCCTTAATTTATCATAATAAATGCAGTTGTTTCATTCCCATACTTAGCCACTCTCATAATTCTCCATGATAAATTTTGCTGAATTTTATCTAGTATGTAGGAAACTTGTAAAGGTTCTTTGTTTTGGATATCTTTAAAAATAGATGACTGAGCTAGTTTAAAACATCCTGAACACCGATATGAGCAGTGAACTCAGTGACTTCTCCAAGTCACTTACAGGATTTTTGTAGATTTACTTGTCAGATGCCTTGTCCTATCCCTCATGCCTTCCTTTAGAAAGTGGGAGTACCATAGGAACATAACTGGTGAAATAAAAGTGATAGTCACTTACTTTGTATCAACTTCCCTCCAAAAGTAGCTCTCCCCATTATGCAATACGATTTGGGTCAATGCACCGGGCCCCATTTCCTTGAGTTTAGAAAACTATTATAATTTCCTTATAAACATCCAGATATTGTTTGCATTCATAAATTGACTACTACCTTATCTCAAACTGAATTTTCTATTATCACTATAATTTATTGTGTTTATAGAACATAGAGTGGAAAGAGCTAAGCAAAAAGGTTTCCTTTTCATTCTTTACATGGGCACTTCTCAGTTGGGAAGTTTTTAAATAACAACCGGAAACCTCTCATTTTTAAGTCTAATGAATAGCTGAGGATGCCTGAAAAAGAGTATACATATCCAGAAGATAAAAAGTAAACTGAGGCCGGGCACGGTGGCTCACACCTGTAACCCCAGCACTTTGGGAGGCCGAGGCGGGTGAATCACTTTAGCTCAGGAGTTCGAGACCAGCCTGGCCACCATGGCAAATCCCCGTATCTACTAAAACTACAAATACTAGCCGGGCGTGGTGGCACGCGCCTGTAATCCCAGCTGCTGGGGTGGCTGACACATGAGAATTGCTTAAATCTGGGAGGCAGAGGCTTCAGTGAGCTGAGATCATGCCACTGCACTCCAGCATGGGAGACAGAGTGAGACTCTGTCTCAAAACAAAACAAAAAAGTAAAATGACTTCCCTTAGGCTACTGGTCAGTTAGTCCTTAAGTCTTGGTTTTAAGTGATGGCCTTCATTCAATTGACTCTTCACGTGCCTGTTCATTTCTCGCCCAGGTAGACTCGACATGAACTGAAGTAACCACAAGTGTGCGACTCATTCTTCTTTACATTCACCGAAGCCCCACAATCTGGGCATAAGTGGAACTGATGATGATCGTTAGAGAAAAGCACACCTGTAGGTATGCCAGTTAGCCCCAGATGTAAAAAGAAGCCTAACATCGTGAGCCCAGTCTGGACCTATTCACTTCACAATTAACCAGGTAGGGATTCTGCATGATGCAAGGAGGATACTCCACTGTGCTTCCTGCCCCATTTGTATGGTTCTGGATCCTTCCTCCTTTCTAGACCCAATAGGGAATGAAAACATTATCACAAGAGATGGAATATGTATGAAAAAAGACCAAATAGACTTCACAATTAAAGGATAATGTGCACACTGTTACAGGTATCATGCTGTTCTTTGCTATTCTGACAATGGAGAGCTGAGTTTTATATTTATATTTGCATTCTGTCATCTCAATAAGATTACAGTGTTAATCCTAATTCTGTTTTTGTTTTTTAATTTTTAATTTTTTTTTTTTTTTGAGATGGAGTTTCACTCTTGTTGCCCAGGCTGGAGTGCAGTGGCGCGATCTCAGGTCACTGCAACCTCTGCCTACAAGGTTCAAGCGATTCTCCTGCCTCAGCCTCCCGAGTAACTGGGATTACAGGCGCCCGTCACCACGCCCGGCTATTTTTTTTGATTTTTAGTAGAGATGGGGTTTCACCATGTTGGCCAGGCTGGTCTTGAACTCCTGGACTCAAGTGATCCGCCTGTCTCGGCCCCCCAAAGTGCTGGGATTACAGGCGTGAGCCACCACGCCCGGCCCTAATCTGTTTTTAAACTAAAATATTCTGTTGCCCTGGAACTCCCAGGCAGCAACAGTACACGGTGTGGAAATCCCCGGCTCACCAGAGGCAGAATGGTCCTGTTGTGACCTGTAACTCCACTAGGAGCGTCATCTAGTTGAGTATTGCTCTGCACATTTCAGTGGGTGCTCCTCTGTGTGCCTCGCCTTAGGAAAGTAATTAAGACAGAAAAGTTATCAAGAATTCACACCAAGGACCATTTGCCAAGGACTATTTTTAAATTGTATCCTGAAGTGAGATTAGCATCTCAGCAAACTTCAGCCATTGAACAGCAGAGAAACACTAACATAAAACCTCGTTACCTGCTCCCTGAGAGAATTACTGTTAGCAAATATGAAATCATGGAACATCAGAAAAAGAGGAAAGAACAGATGCTTCAACTTTCTCACAAAATGTCCATAACTGAAAATTCAGAATGATACTTCTTCCTACCATGACTGCATAGGGCTTCATTTCCCAGGCGTGGAGGTTGGTATTATCAATAATAATGGGGGATATGCCATTCCTCATTGCTTTTCTTGCTGCAACACAATGTTACATAACAGTGAACAACATGCAACAATCAGAGGGAAGGGTGAGCGTAATCTCTATTGGTCATTTTTATTACAGGATGCCCTCATCTCCTCATCACACAACTTCAGTGCCACCTATTTCAGAGCCCACTATCAATAATTTTCTTTCTCTGGAATCTAAGGAGGTTACGCTCTGGTGTTCTGTTTTGGGGAAAAAAACGGCAGAACTTTCGGTTAAACTCCTTCCATTAAATTTATTCATTCTGCAGCAGCTACAATCTATGTGCACATCAGGGTTTCCCAGGAGTTTGGAAAGGAATTTGTCACCTCTTTTTTGGTTCCATTCATGAGCTTCCTCCAGGAAGTCAGGATTGAACTCATAGGCACCATCTTCCCTGAAGAAAAAATCATCCGTGCTGAAAATCAGGGCCCTGGGAAAGTCATGCTGCAATTGTCTGGAAAGTGGAGAAATTAGAGAGAGAGATGTTTTCAATATTATGTATAGTCTCAGTAGAAATAATTTCCTTCCATCTCTAACATTTAGCGGTTGTAATATTGAGACCACCAGGTTTGGAGCTGTTAAAATGCAGCTTTAAAAGAGAGATGTTTATGATGTCTAGAAGGCATTACTCCTTAGCAGGAGGTGGCAGAGGGCTGAGAGGCGGCAGTGTGTGCTGCTGGTCCTTGAAACTAAGAGGTACAGTCACTGCCGCTGCCTTCTGCAGCAGCAAGGACTGACTCAAGAAGAAACTGAAGCTAAGCTGGGGGCCTGGTGACTGTCTTTCCTCCTGAGCACCAATCCCAGTGCCCATTTCTCTCCAAGGCACCAGTGCCCCTGCCCAAGACCTGCCCATGGATGCCAGACCCCCACGTTGCAGCCCTTCCCTCGGCCCCCTAAACTCTGAGCTGGCCCATTTCCTTGGAGCTCTGTTCTCTGTAAGGACCCATCTGAGAGGCTAGTTCTAGTATGAAACGTGGGTAAGTGATGCATGTGCTCTACTAAATGAGAGAAAAGCAAAATGGGAGAAGGAAAGCGACAGAGCCACTGTCCCCTACCTTCCTACCCTCCACCACTCTGAGCGTAAGTAGGAAATAGCAGAGCAAAAAGAAACACCACCATGGAGCTCCCCTTTAAAGCAAGACCAAAACAAAATGAAGATGCTTATTCAGTGCTGCACAAAAGAACTTCGAAGAGAAGATGTTTCCACTTGAAATCCTTGCTCGTACTATCTTTTGGCAGAAGGTGGATGTCATGCTCTGGAGGAACTGGAGACGTCTCTGAGCTTCATTTCCTCATCTGTAAAAACTGAGGACAAACAAACCCAGCCAACAAACAGAAAATATGGTCACGTGGCCATGCTCAGAATAAGAAGATATTTAAAAATCGGAGGAAAAAACGTTGGAGAATGACAAGGGCAGGAAATGCAAAGAGAAAGCAAAGCTATTCAATGTCTTTTTTGTTGTTGGTCTTCTCCATGGAGCAGAATGATCTTTAATCCAGGAAGAATGGAACAAACATGAGGCCTTGGAGCCACAGATGAGTAAGCACTTCAGGTGCCCTGACAGGCTTGGGAGCTTCTTTCTCAACTGTAAAACACAGATAATTATCCCTACCTATTAAACAGAGCTTCTAATCAGGCTGAAATGAGGCCGGTATGAGAAAACATTTTGTACCCAGTAAGGCACTTTACAGCAGTAAAGTGGTGTTATAATAACCATGAGGCCACACTGACCAACCCAGACTGTTTATCTGCCACAGTAATAAACACGTCGGAGAGCGCGTGTCAAGTAGCCCTTGAGGTACTGCGGTGAATTAAGAGAGAGATGAAAGACAGAAGTAAAATGCTTCCATTTTCAAAAATGAGTGAATATACATTCCAGAAATGGTAACTAAATAGCTGTCAAAATTCTTCAGAAGCTTGATAGCATTTAAAAAGAAGGCAGCGCAGATCGCTGAAAAAGTAATTCCAAACCAAATGCATTTTCTTTTTTAATGAACTAAACAGTGGCAAACAAGGAAATTCAGTGGACATACTATCTCTGTTTAAACAGGAATCTGACAGTCTCCCTTGATAGCCTTGTGGGGGAAATGCGGCCAGTAGATAATATACTTTAATACCAAAAGAATATTAGTTAATTATCCAACTTATTAAACATTTATTGAGCACCTGACATGTGCCAAGTGCCAGGTGAAGCGTTAAGGTACAGAAAGTAGCTGCTTTCAAGGAATTCATGGCCCAGCCAAAGGAGTCAGCCAGCGCAGCGCACAGAGGAAAAAGCTGGCCCAGCAAAGCGCTGAGAGAAAGGGTCCGGAGCCGGGGAAAGGGATGCAAAGGAGTGATGCAAGTTTGACTTAGTCCCTGAAGGATGAGAAAACTGTTGCGTCTTGGGGGAGGGGCTGAGACACGGGCAGGAAAGAGAGGAGGAAGCCTAGGGCTTGTTAGGGGAGAAGAGGCTGTAGGGAAAAGCAGAAAGACTCTAAGGGTTAGAAGAAGCAAATCATCTTTGAAACACTGTTTTCAATTCCGACTGCCACACAATTTAAAGAGAAATTTGGCCACCTTGAAGGTGTCCAGAGAAGAGTGACCAGGTACATACAAGGTCCAGAAACCATGTCGGAGGAGCAGAGATCGTCGAAGACAGGCGGAGTGTTTCAGGCAGAACAGATAATAAAAGGGATAAGGTGATAGTTCTCAGAGGCTGGGAAGCCTGTTGTGTGGATGCGGGAATGAACTTCTTCTGTGTTGGCAGTTTGGGCTGGGCTCAGGTGGGCCGATCTGCAGGCCTTGCCTGGGGTCCCTGCGGCAGCTGCGTCACCTGACAACGTGGGGCTGGGCAGAGTGCCCTAAACAGGGTCCTTCACACGTGTGGTGGTGCTGGCTCTCACTCCGCAGGGCCTGTCATCCTGAAAGAGCCGCACCCAGGCCTCTTCACAGACCGCGGTATTTCAAGAGAGCACGACAAGAAGCTGCTTGCCAGCGCTCCTGCACCTTGTGTTGGTCAAAGCGAGTCACTTTGCTGGCCCACATTGAAGGGCGAGGAAAGCAGACTTCTTGATGGAAGGAAGAGCAAAGAAAACGTGGCCACTTTAAATCTAGTACAGATAAAGCCAGTGACACGAAGGGAGGGGTAAGTATAAAGACTTGAGGAACCTGCTCATAGTTTCCATATGAATGTCTGTTATTCCACTTAAAAGATACGCAAATCGAAAAGTCCAAACCTTAACCTCTGATGCAAACAATTATAGACAGGAAAAACATCTAAGGGTAGCACTGATGCATTTTTAGGTATGTATATTTTATATTTGTGAACACTGTACAGTTTTAAAATGATTTTCATCGATATTATTTAAATAATGAAAGTTGTGTTCAGAGATTAAGTAATAGTATATAATGTGTTTCCTTTATCCTTTGTATACTCAGTTAAGCAGCCATGGTAACTGAATCCAAGATTTTTTTCTCTTTCTGGTCCCAGATTTGATATCCCTTCTATACCTGGTTTCATTTGTTCTCCTATTAAGTCTGCTACTTATCAGTTTTGTTTTGTTGTTTGAACATTTTCAGATTTGAATTTTTCTTTTCATATACATACCCTTATCTGCTCTTGTTTTCTTCTTTGTGGTTTATATTATTGATTGAAAGTTAATACTTTATAATATTTCCTTTAAAAAGACTTTAAGGCATGAGTATCCAATTCACTGTTTGTTTCATGTTTGTTTTATTTGAATCCTATTTCTTTCTAGAAAACAAAAACAGCACATAACACTACTGCCCTTTTAATTACAAAATTTTACCTTAGAGTAAAAGCTAAATGGTTCAGGATCACTATGGGGCAAGAACACCATCTCATCATTACCTGAGACACATCTGACAGTGGCCTCCATACTCTTCCTAACAAACAGGCAGACAAAAATAAGGGTGTTTTTCCACCTTTAAGGCTCTCATGGATTTTTTTTTTTTTTTTTTTTTTGGCCTGTATGATCTTCCTGAATGACTTCAAAACTCGTTTTATCTTCACCTAAATGTTAAATTAGCACTAGCAGCCATAGTAGTATGTTGAATAGGCAGGACAATAAAAACTCTACTAGCTAAATAAAGAACTGATTAAACAGACAATCTTGAGATTCTGAAACTTAAGTGGAAGCAATAAATACCATTCCATCAGCTTCAGAAGTGATGAGGGTTAAGCCCCAGTTCTATCTTTATGGTGGTCAGGAGCCTCATGCATTAGGGAAATTGAGAGAATGAAAATAAAAGGGAAAAATAGAAAGGCAATTAATTCCATATAACCTCCACCTGCCACAAACTCCCCTGAAATTCATTTAAAATCACTATTATGAGAGAAACTCAGGGACTAATCTTGATTTCACAACTTATTCTTTTGTGTAATTCTTTATTTAAATAATGGAGAACCAAAGAGCTATATTTAGATATCTCTTCAGCCAGTCAGTCACTCACTGAGAAAGTCAGACATTGCATGTAATTTTAATTTGATACCCAGCTTTTTACTAGCGAAATTTTCAAGCTTGCAAAAGTTAGATAGCATAATATACTCAATCCTCATATACACATGACCAGTTAACATCATATGGCCAGTCTTCTCTCATGTCTTTCCTATTTCATTCCATCAGTCACTCCATCAGTGTTCAGTCTCCCTGCTTGTCTCATCAATGTTTTCCTCCAGTTGGTTTGTGTGCATCAGGGACCAAACAAGATCCACACATTGTATTTGGTTGCCATGTCCCTTAAGTCTCATTTATCCTATAGTTTACCCTCTCCTCTTGATTTCCACCTGAATTTCTCCCACCACAACCTTTTAATTAGAAAATATAAAAATCTATGGAAATGAGTTGAAAAACAGTATACTGAACACTGCTTACCCTTCATCTATGGTCACCAGATGTTCACATTTTGCCTTATTTTTTGTCTCTCCTATATATATTTTTGGAGAACCATATGAAAGTAAATTGCAGGCCAGGCGCGGTGGCTCACGCTTGTAATCCCAGCACTTTGGGAGGCCAAGGCGGACGAATCACTTAAGGTCAGGAGTTTGAGACCAGCCTGGCCAACATGGCAAAATCCCGTCCCTACTAAAAATACAAACATTAGCCAGGCTGGTGGCGCACACCTTTAATTCCAGCTACTCGGGAGGCTGAGGCATGAGAATCACTTGAATCTGGGAGGCAGAAATTGCAGTGAGCCAAGACCGTGCCACTACATTCCAGCTCCAGCCTGGGTGACAGAGCAAAACTCTGTCTCAACTGTCTCAAAAAAAAAAAAAAAGGTAAACTCCATACATCGTGATACTTTATTCCTAAATTCTTTGTCAAGTATCTCTTAAAAATAAGAACAATTCCTTGCATAACCACAATACCATTATTGCATCTAACAAATTAAGGCAGAGTGCCCTAAGCAGGGTCCTTCACACGTCTGGTGGTGCAGGTTCTCACTCCGCAGGGCCTG